TGTGGGTGTGGGTGTGGGTGTGTGGGTGTGGGTGTGGGTGTGGATGTGCGTGTGGGTGTGGGTGTGGATATGGATGTGGGTGTGGGTGGGTGTGGGTGTGGGTGTGTGGGTGTGTGGGTGTGGATGTGGATGTGGGGTGTGGGTGTGGGTGTGGGGTGTGGGGTATGGGTGTGGGTGTGGGGTATGGGGTGTGAGTGTGGGTGTGGGTGTGGGTGTGGGTGTGGGTGTGGGTGTGGGTGTGGGTGTGGGTGTTTCTTATCTTCATTCAAAATCGCCCACACACCCATACCCACACCCCACAACCACACCCACACCCACTCACACCCACCCACAACCACATCCACATCCACACCCACACGCACATTCACGTCCACACTCACACCCACCCACCCATCCCACACCCACACTCACAACAATAGCTACTCCATTTGATATTCCTCGTCATTACAAAGTGTTTTAAACACAGGTTTGGGCACTATGTATAAAAAAATCATCTAGGCCAATTGATAAAGATGCTAAAGCATTAATTAAATTGATTTGCGAACAAGAAAAATTGTACGGTAAGTCAAATACATTGGAAAGCTCTTCTACACATAATTTCATGTTAATTTTACTGTTCTGAAGGGAGAAAAACGCCCACAGATGAATATGTGACACGAATTCGAACTGCTCGTAATTCTGATGGAAATAAAAAATTTAAGCCTGCTCAATATTTAACAAATAAACAGATAAGTAACATTCATAATAAAACTATTTATAGATCAATAATTTACAATCTGTACGTACAAAATCAGATTAAATTATTATCTAAAGTTCCAAAAATTGTATCTGTTCCCATTACGAAAAGAACAGATAGTAATATTTCAACAGGAAGTAAGGGTTCAGGCTAATATTTCGATGATACATATGACCGCATGTTTATTCAGTAGATTCATCGACACAACCGAAAAGAAAAACAACAAAATGATCGACATTGGACGATGAACAAGCTGATATTTCTACTGATGAAGAAGATGATGGAGCTGTAGAAACAGCGTTACTACTACAATATTTCAAAAAAATCAATCGTTGATAAAAAGTTTTAGTTATTTATTGCCTTTTCTTAATACTACATTAATTTTGAATTTTATCCTTTTCTTATTTTATTTTCTCAAATTACTGACTATTAGCTCTTATGAATCCTATTGAATAAACGTTTCCCTATATTGATATTGAATAAATCAATTGATACATATTATTTAGAAAAAACTGATGCGATTGACAATATTAGACGTTTGACATGTGGCTTCATGTTGACGATTTCTTTCTACTAGTTGTGTTTTTTTTGTACTCCTATATCTAAGATAT